GGCCATGTTGGCGGGGAAAGGGGAAAGTGGTGGAATTTCGGGGGTGAATTCCGGCATTTCCGGGGAAAATTCCGCCGTTTCGGGGGCAAATTCCACCGTTTCGGGGTCAAATTCCGGCATTTCCGGGGAAAATTCCACCGTTTCGGGGTCAAATTCCGCCATTTCGGGGGAAAATTCCACCATTTTGGGGGCAAATTCCACCACTTTGGGGGAAAATTCCACCGTTTCGGGGTCAAATTCCAAATTTTGGCTGATTTCTGGCGTTTCGGGGCCGAATTCTGACATTTTGGGATCAAATTCTGACGTTTCGGGATCAAATTTTGACTTTTTAGGGCGAAATCCCGGCTTTTTAGGGCCAAATTCTGACGTTTTGGGAACAAATTCCGACGTTTTGGGAACAAATTCCGACATTTCGGGATCAAATTTTGACATTTTAAGGCCAAATTCCGGCCTTTTGCGGCTGAATTTTGACATTTTAGGGCCAAATTCTGACGTTTCCGGGGCACAAATTCTGACATTTTAAGGCCAAATTCCGGCCTTTTGCGGCTGAATTTTGACATTTTAGGGCCAAATTCTGACGTTTCCGGGGCAAATTCCACCATTTCGGGGTCAAATTCCACCATTTTGGGGTCAAATTCCAAATTCTGGTTGATTTCTGGCATTTTGGGTTCAAGTTCTGACGTTTTGGGGGCAAATTCCGGCCTTTTGGGGCCGAATTCCGACCTTTTGGGATCAAATTTTGAAACTTTAGGGCCAAATCCTGACATTTTGGGATTAAGCTTTGACATTTTAGGGCCAAATTCCACCCTTTTAAGGTCAAATTCTGACATTTTAGAGCCAAATTCTGACGTTTCAGGGGCAAATTCCACCACTTTGGGGGCAAATTCTGATTTTTGGCTGATTTCTAACATTTTGGGGGCAAATTCTGCCTTTTTGGAGCCAAATTCCAACATTTTGTGATCAAACTTCACCATTTCGGGAGCAATTTTTGAGATTTTAGGGCTAAAATCCACCATTTCAGGGTCAAATTCTGAGATTTCGGGGTCAAATTCCGACATTTCGGAGCAATTTTTCCATTTTTGCCTGATTTTTGCCATTTTGGGATCCAATTCCGACGTTTTTTGGCCAATTTCCATCATTTTGCGGCCGGTTTCTCCCCTTCCCGGCCCCTTTCCCGCCTTTTTTT